ATCTACTTACTGATCAGGAAAACTTGCTGAACGCATACTTTATAAAATGAACAAATAATGAACACAAAAGTATACAATTATTTAACTCAGCTGTAATTATTTATGTGTAATCATGGAAAATTTATGCAACAAATATCTGACTTAAAGGGAAATGTATGTTAGTACATAGGTGTACTCCGATCTAATCCAGGATTCACCAACCCTGGTTGTTGTTATTTCCTGGATTAGATCAGAGTACACATATGTACTAATTTATATCCCGATCGACAACCGGCAAAGACGTCGACCCGTTGGCTCAGTGGATAGGACGTTTGTCTCTAGCTCACTGGGCGCGGGTTCGAAACTTGAGTGTAGTGGCAGTTTCTGTGGCTATACTTGAATTGGGTAGGTGCTGCCGATGACGGCCAATAAGCCAAAAATGCGGGTATTCAGCACTCCCTAACTTTTGCCCGTAATAAAAATAGGAAATGTATGTCTACTTTTATCCTCCGTGCGAAGGAGTTTTTCGTTGACATTGCCTGTTAAAAATTGATCGATTTTGTTTTCGGCATCCCCCAAAGAAGTCGAAGAAGAAGAAGGACATTGGCCGACTTAAATTGGGCCTGACGTTTCGGACACTCGCTTGTTTCCATCGTCAAAGTAACTTGATAGTTGTTCCTGTTTCAGCCTCGCTGCATGTCCGCGATTATATCCGTGCTCGGCGCAAAAACTTTGACCTGCTTTTTCGCTGCTGACTGTCCGTGAGATTGAACGTTGGGGGGCTCATGTGATCTTTTTCCCCTTTGCGGCTGTCGTAATTAAGGGAAGTCAGTTCACTTACTGGCTCCCAGCGATGTTGAAACGGTCCTCGCAAACAAGAACAGTCACGTTACTCTGACGATGGAAACAAGCGAGTGTCCGAAACGTCAGTCTTAATATAACTCGGTCCATGTCCTTAAACCTTCTACTTCGTCTTTCTTGGGGGATGATGATAACGAAAACATATCTGGACCTCAAATCTTTGCTTATATTATTGATCGATATTTCTGTTCTTAGAAAACATATCGGTAATTATCACAGTCAGGAATTTGCCAAATTAACTGCTAAAAAGAGCTAATACTTGCCAACTGAAGACGTCAGATTAAACAAAAAGACAGGTCGATCTGTTTTTTTGATTCGTGTTTAACATGACCGAAAACAGTAAACAGCATGTCCACGAAATCGGAAATTATGCTAAAGTTTGCGAAATGTTGTTAATGACTCGCAAACAAGCATCAATAGGTGTACGAAATATTCCAAATAATAAGGAATTACCTGAGGCGAATATGTTACATAAAAGAAATAAAAGAAGCACTAACCATTTGTTAAAAAACCTTTTCTAAATAATCCTCAGGTTCTGTACACATAAAAATATATGCCAATTTGAGCAAAATATTTAAATCTTGCCTTTATATTAACGTATTACGACACCATTTTGTTTTCAATTTCCTTCATTGCTCTTCCCTTACAAAAGATTTAATGCATGTTGTTATTTAATTAAAATTGCCGATACATAGTCCAGCGATTTCGGCGTCTTCAAGAATGCGTCCATAAAAAATATGCTTTACGGTTATAAAATGAAATATCGATTAAATGGAATTACCACAGAATATAGTTTTTGGATATGAGTTCGAATGAAGAGGGCCAGGAGGATCATATTGGAAAACTACTCCAAACAGCCAACCACATTTTCAGGCTAAATGTACGCCCGCAACAAAATAATTATACTTTTATTCCTAAGATTAATCAGAGCACTTTCTACGGGGGTTTTAAAATGCATTTTAAGTGCATATTCCGTCCAAATTGACGTTTTCTAAGCTTACATCAAAATCAACATGGATATCTTTGAAAAGTTTTTTTACTTAACCTGTAGATACTGGATAACATTTGCCTGAAACTGAAAGAACTCACTTTTCGATTTATGTTGGACTATGTTCAGTCATAGTGGATTACATATAGGCTCTGGTCTATCATTGTGAAGGCAAAAACAAGTTGCGATATATATAGCCAGATTTTTTCATACTTATTATAGTGTATAAAAGGTAAATTTCTAGACGAAATACATTCAATAAGATATGTTCTAAATTACTCTTACCATAACATATATGGACAGTTTTCATTATGCTGAAATGCGGGAGTTTGTTCTGTTCTATCTGCGCGATGCGGTAAAACAATGTGCGACCGAAGCCTTTTTGTTACTGCAATTTGTTGAATAATAGTTCACATATTTGCAGTTCATATTTCGTTTCCTTCGGAACGAGACTATTCAAAATTTGGCCAAAATTAATACGCATTACACTTAATAAACTTTACAAAAAAGGCGGCTTTCCTAAAAAAAGATGCCCTTGCAGAATTAAGTTTGATCGGTGGGTCAAAATCACATTATCAAACGGAAGATGTGCTCGGCACTTTGTACCGCGGCCCATCCTACTCTTATATCAGAGCGGTAAGTTGGACCTCATGTAAGGTGACGTAGGCGATCTCCTAACCACCATTTATTTTTTTCAGGAGTTTCAATAAACCTGCAATTTGATAATCGGGTTTTTCCACCAAACCATAAACGATAATACAGATTAGGAAAGCCTACAAATAGAAGTCCACGACATTTCTAAATAAAGTAAAATAAAAAAAGAATATAGCATATATTAAAGTATTTTCCACTGCCTATCCTAATTCCTCACACATAAAACACTATAACCACCGTTTGCGTAGGACAAACTGATGGGACTGGGGATTAATGAGGTGCACTGCACAAACGAATTTTGCCGTTTGTTTCCATGAAACAACAAAAGGTCAGCAACATTACAAACTTTTCTTTTCGTAAAAAACGTAAGCTTACTGGCAATGCTGCTCTCTGTCAAATTTTAATCTGTATACGACACAGCTAAATCACAAAAAAAACAGAAATGACTGTTCCGATATAGTCATATAAATAAAATATCCCGGGATGTAGGTAAACCGATCTTTTCTCCTGGCACATTAGTATATTGACGTTATACGCATTCATTTAGGTGGTCCCACATGTCCTTGTTTTAATATTAAAGAAGGTAATACAACCAGTTCAAATGAGGCAGTATGCATGAGGTTCGGCAGTCGTATGAGTAGCTGCAGAAAGGCCAGTAGCTCGAGAATTGGACGGCTATCGGCCGAAAATCTCGAGCGGCCTTTCCAGCCAAGTGGTAAACAT